CTTCGGAACTGAGGCATGACAAGAAGAGAGTAAATATTTTGTGATTCTTTCTGCTTCGCTAAGGTGGCTTCTATGTGCCCCTGTTCTAATCTGTGAGTATCTGCTATACACTTTAGACTAAATTGCTATTTATTCTATTTTGTGGATGTGAAAGCCACAGCCTAGGAATGAATGCTATCAGGGGAATGAGGGTCTCAGGATGCTCTACAGACTCGCTGCTGACACAACAACTAGTCCTCAAAGACTTACTACTTGATTTGCCCAAGCAAAATGCCACGGTAATTGTGAAGATTTATATCAATGGGAAAGAGCTGACGAGGTCTCATGGCTATCAGATCTGATAGACCTAATATGTGCTCAAATGTTGCCTGCCACACTAAAGGTTTGCAGGTTGACCGATTTTACCTGGAATGCTCCACCTCAACTGATATTGACCGTTTTCACTCCAGCATTCAAGTGTGAAGTGGAACCTTTAGGTTGTGAAATTGTGTTTTTAATAAGATGGAATTACTTCACAGAGCTTTCATCAAACACTTCGGCTTTTGCTTTGTGTGCTGTTTCAGATAACATTTATGTCAGCTGGCAGGTTTGTATAAATGGGCAATCCTTACTATATTTGTTGATTCAGATCTCTTCCTCTCTCAGATAAAGCTTAAATAAAATAAACCATTTATTGTGTAGATTGTTATAAAGCAATAGGTGGCACAATTGAGCTCTGATATTTAGACACAAAGCTTCTGAGCTAATAATGATGCTGGTGTGAGGGTCAGCTGAAGACAGGTTGCAAAAACATTCAGCACACTGTGAGGTATTTCAGGATTGAAATAAATTCAGTAAACCTGAAAAATATGAGTAAAATACTTCTAAATGTACTCTTTTGAGGGTCTTTCACATTAACAATTTGCGCTGCCAACTTGCCTTGCACATTAACAACAACTTTGATCTGACCTTTCATCTAAAAGAACTGTGTTCTTTAGGTTCCTTCTAAATAAACAAACCTAAGTAAAAAAATATTAAGAGGGCAAAGGCACCACATTCAGGTTATGAGGCAGTTCCACCACATCCCAAAGGTGCTCTTTTGGATTGAGATCTGGCAATTCTTGTGCTGCTGTCCAAAGCTGTGCAAGTAATGAAAGAGTTGAAAACAGCCTTGTTAAATAATAATTTTAAGAAAATCATTATTTATATTATTTGAAATACTAACGCTTTCAAAATCATAGCCTGTTTCTACTAGTTCATTTAGCAGATATAAGTGCTTCTCTCAATTATTTTATCAGCACAAGAGAACATTTGGCTGCAGTTAAATAATAACTTTTCAGAAATTTGATGAATGTATGTGAGGGTCATTTACCCTATAAAGAAAAACAATGGTATTGACAGGTGGTGAAAATTTAGCACCAAGAAGTCCATCATTGCAGCATCTCAGTAACATTAAATAGCAAATCTTGAACCACAACACTTTGCGTTACCATTCAAAAGGTTGGTTGGCTGGTTGGTAGGTTGGTTGTTTGGTTGGCTGGCTGGCTGGCTGGCTGGCTGGCTGGCTGGCTGGCTGGCTGGCTGGCTGGCTGGC